ATCCATTTATTTCTTAAATCAGAAAAACCAATAATCTCAAACCAAGTGCACTTCATCGTTCTTCGTCCAACAGTTTGAAGTGAAACACAAACTCAGAATCGTCAGTCGGTGCTGTAAGGCTTTGGGTGGCGATGCTTCGTCGAGATGACGGACGCGTGAAGGGATCTGCAGCCGGTCCAACCTCGGCTGCGTCTTCACCAACAGAAACGCGACGCTGACCCTGTGACGGAATCCGAGGAGTCCGGCAGTTTGCTCATTTGTGCCAAATCGCCCGCTCTGAGCCGGTTATCAGAACGAAGGCGAGAAGATGACAGATGTGGGGTCAGCTGGGCCAAACCGTATTTGTGGGTAATTTCCAGCACATGTTGGAAAGCCCTCAAAAGCACTAAAGGGTAGAGATTACCACATCGTGGACGATTTAGAGGAGCTGAGCCAGATGGGTTTCCATTCTGCGAGATATCAACTGACCGCCGTGTTGGACAACAGATGGCTGAGTTTCATCGCTTGGGACCAAGAATTTGAGGGAAAATCACAGGAAATCACCTAAAAGTCAAATGAGGTACTTTTCTGTGATAATAAACACGACTACCTGGATGTGTTTGACTGAGCTAATGAGTTACAATTACAGTCTGGACCAGCCGACTCCCATTCGTAGGCGGTTCACCCGAGAGGAACACGGATGATGACGTGGCGATGTTTACCGGAATGCTTGAAGTGCGTCACAGGCAAACTTGAATTTAAATCCTACTGTACATATAAACAAAAAGAAATAAACTTTGTATAAATAAACTCCCAAGATACCAACATCCTTGTAACAGGACGACGAACTACACATCACCTGGAGGAGAGAATACATCAACAAAAAATACATGTTTACATCGGCAACGTGAACTTTTTACATTCAAACACAGTCCAGTCGTTGCACTGCAATATAGGACAGTTAGATTCAGATGCAGCAGTCGTCTCGTGCTACATACTCAGCTTATATACGATGCACGTTAACGGAATTTCACATTCTTAGTAATACGTAATGTCTTCCACAGATTAATGCTGGTTTTGTGTAAACAAATGTATTTACTTTGATTTTAAAAAGGTACTCGTTGCGAAGGTAGAACCTAAATTGGTTACAATTTATAATCAGAATTTGTAAAAGGCTGCCAACTACTTGGTGTGTGTTTATCTACGGAAACAACCAAAGTTGTTGAACATCTAGAAAAGAGCCGTTTGGGATAGAGAAGTCTGACAATGTTGATGTTCAGTAGTCCCTCACTTATAGTGAGGGTTACGTTCCAGACACCACTCCTTTCTTTTTCTAAGGCTGTCTGTTGCACGTCTGCCTGTTGTGTGTCTCTCTGGGACATGATGGGGAAAGACAGACCACGCCTCCTCCTTTCTCTTTCTCAGCTGTGGCAGACAGCCTCAGAAAGAGAAAGGAGGGGGTGCAGATGAACAAATGTAGAATATCGGAGAAAATGCTTAGGTGGAAAGATAAGTGAATCAGTTTTTAAAAAGAGAGAGTGGCTGAGTGGGGCTCACTCAGATATAAAACATACCCCCCGCCCCCTCCTTTCTCCTTATAAGGCTGCCTGTCACAGCAGCGAAAGAGAAAGGAGGGGGTGCAGATGAACAAATGTAGAATATCAAAGAAAATGCTTAGGTGGGAAAAACAAGTGAATCAGTTTTTAAAAAGAGAGAGTGGCTGAGTGGGGCTCACTCAGATATAAAACATACCTCCTGCCCCCTCCTTTCTCTTTCTGAGGCTGTCTGTCTCAGCAGAGAAAGAGAAAATGGGGGGTGTCTGTCTTTCCACATTGCCAATTGTGTGTCATGTACAATCTTACGTTGAAAAACGGTGAAAAAGCAAGTCCGCGAAGTAGCGGCACTACTGTATCTGCACGATTTTATTCAAATTAGGTGAGTAAAGTATGCAGAGGAAAATTACTTTTTGTTTACATCGAGTGCATGCCCACATTTCGGCGTATTACAATATTTGAAAAACCCTTTCAAAACCCCCATTTGATGTTTTTCAGGATTACCTTTTTTATGTTCTATTGCTTGCAATGAGTACCTTTTTAAATGTAGAGTAAAAATGTGGCAAACACATGGAAAATATTAATGTTGCGACCAGAAATAATGAAAATAAAGTGCAGAAACCACTGAATGTGTTGAACAACAGGAGGCAGTGTTGATCTGTTACTCAACTTTGATTTTGTTGCGTCTTTAACTAGTCCCTCGTTTAACGTTGGCAGAAAACAGGAAAGTGTTCGAAGCCGCAGCAGGTCTGTGAAGGCAGCTGATTGTGAACAATCTGACAACTTTCACCCCAAAGACCCAACAACTCGGGGACTATTTGAATAAACAAAGCCAGTTTTAAACGATGGAGTCAGTTTTGTGTTTTGATGTAGTTCCTTGCGTGGTGTGGGGGTTTACGACGAGCTGATGGGAAATGAAGACCCGAACATTAAATCCGATCCTAAACTTGAGCTCCTGTTTCTGATTTATCCTCAGCGTTCGCACCGGAGGACGAATCAAACGTGCAGCTTCGACTCGCACACTCACTCAACAAAGTCTGAGGTGACGCCTAACTCCCCGCGAGGACGTTGACGAGTCAGAGGCCACCGCTCACCTCCAACTGAATGTTTGTTTTAGAAGACGCATTTCAGATCTTCCCCTTATGTCTTTATGTATCCTCGTTATTTACACTTCTTGGGTTAAAAATGCCTTTTTATTCCCCACAACTGTATATCTGTTTAGATATAAAACATCCAAAAATATTACAAACTATTAATCCTAAACCCAAAATATTAGATATGAAGATGCGTTGGACCCTAAATTTGTCATTAGGGAGGTTAGGGACGTCAAATTTGTGTAATATTAAATACTCAAATGATATTTTCTTTTAAATTAAGTTATTTTTTTATAAGAGACGGAAAGTTTCTCGACAGGAAAGTTCCCGAAGAACCTTTTAGGCAATGTTTTGTGAAGTAAAATACAAATCTTGGTTAAAATCAATGGTGTGTAGATTGCAGCCTGTTTTGTGCCAGCAGGTGGCGCAAGCAGCACAGCAGCGTCTGCAGAGCCTGACTGAGAGAATTTTGAGTGAAATTAATGCAGATTGTTAAATTATTGGACTTGAATGCTTCTGTAAAATCATTTCATTCAGCTTTAAACAAAAGCAGGCGTTGACGTTAACAAACCAGAGCCGAGACGGGCTGGAAATGTTCAAATGGGTGAGGACACCAGAGCGTCCTTGCATGTGATGGTATGTCTGCTGATAATTCATATGCGTCCACATGCATCCTGCTGTACTTTACGAAGGAATCACTTCAATGAGCACAAAATATAAGAGCACATTAAGTATTCTGGCAAAAAAATAAACAAACATAATATAAAAAATGGCAATTAAACAGCATTGTCCATGCACATCATATCAGAGCATTAATGCACATGTAGTTCGTTAAACAGAAGGAATGGATGATTTATCCTCATACAGGCGGGATATTTAAGAACAAACGGACGATACCTACAGGTTATAGACACATTGCTTGTACATTCATATATGTCAACACTTAAATATGTATATACAGTATACATATACATATATATATTCAAATGGATACAGATATATCAAAGGAGGAATAAATAGTGCCATTAATGAGGTGGAAAACCGTTTTAATTGTATTCCCACCAAAATATACAGGTTGACGGGTGGGATACGGAGGCTGAGGTGCAGTTTTACTCCCACGGTCATAAATCTGATGGGATCCACTGACCCCCCCTCACACTACATACTGCCTGCCATTTTAAAATGTTCTACTGAACTAAAGTTGCTATATGTAACTAGTACTGTTGGGTTAGTCATACTAGGTAAATGTGGTTACGCTCTGTTTATATATCTGATAGGGTATTGACATATATTGCAATGCTTTAGTGTTTACAAACAAAAAGCGGGTTTTGTTTGTGTGCAGAACTTCCTGTTTGGCACACATTTTGGAGGCGGGGCGGGCGGCATGTTGTGGGGGGACCTCTAACAAACTGTGTTGGTGAAACAGTGGTATCTGATACCTGCTGAACTGGCAGTGGACCTCTCGTTGTGATGACTGGGGGGGTTCTCTTATAAGCCAGCGGACACATTTTCACACTGAAGGCCTCTAGTTTGAATCAAATGTCGGATGTAAGCGTGAGGCTGGGTGAGGAGCGTTCTGATCTGAGGAGCTGATGTTCACACCACACCGGTTATAGCTCAACACCGGTACTTCTTTACACTCTGGTCTTTTCTTCCATGTAGTCCGAGTAGGCAAATTAAATTTTATTAAGGTTTTCTCTTTGCACACAGTATTAATGTCTATATAAATGTTTTAACGTACACAAAGTTGTCTGCCTCATGAACAGAATGGGACCGAGCTTGTGAGGATACAAATGTAGGAAGAATTTTTGTTTTTAGCATTTCAGGGTGATGTATCGGCTTTGGCGTCTGCCCCGGCAGACATACAGACATTAACGATTTATTATAATAATTTATCATGCGATTAATTGATTTATTGTTCATGGCGACAGGCCTATGTTTCAGCTGTGCTGAAAGTTAAAGTTAAAGCAGCCATGACTTGAAAGCAGTCCGCATGCGCCCTCTGCTGGAGACGTTGTACAATTTCACCATTTGCAAAGGTTCCAAACTTAGATCGTGTTTGTATCGGCCCATAATGGCACAATTATCACTGATAATGTCCCCAAACATCTCGATCAGCCTACAATATCGGCCGAGCTCTTGTGAAGATGATCCTAATGCTGAAATTAAATACAATAAATATATCACTCTACAAGGATCACCCTATAGAATACCAAATATGTCTTTCTTTAAAAAGAGGATATTTAACATCTTCTCGCTGTGGAGACTGACTGAGCTTGCAATCCAAGTAAAAGGAACATTTCTCACATCAGTAGTTCCCTACAGCTCCAACACGAGCAGCCCCCCCCCCGCAGCTCATTATTTTTAATTAGCTCAACTCTTACTGGTTCTTGGTGCCAGCTTGTTGTACCAACAATCACTTTCGCTGCCGGCGCTGTCAAACTAGAGGCCAAGACCGAAACACGACAACAGCTAAAGCCTGCTCTGGGATGCGTTCGGGCGTTGTGCGATAAACATCTGCAGGAGGTGCAGAACGAAGGGTTTTCATGGAGTCAGGTCGTCTTTCGGCTTTTGTGGAATGTTTGGGGTTTTCTTTCTTCTTTTGTTTCATCGTTTGTGAAAACCCGCTTCCGTCCGGTGTTTTGAGTTTATCTAGAATTTATGGAGCGCTCCTGCTCGCGGAGACGTCGCTGACATTCCGGCAGTGGGAAACTATGGAATGATTGTGCTATAATCTTCTGCTTTGTAGAAATTTGTGAGGACGTTTTAAAAATGTTCACGTTATTAGCTTGTGGGATTCAAAGGAATGCTTAAAGTACCTTAGCTCAAAAAATTACCGGCACACAAATTTAGGGTTTAGGGTTAGAGACTGCAACTGAAACACGAGTAAAAAGGATTTTTGAAAAGGAACAGTGAGAGTGCACAAGCTTGAGGACAAATGCATGTATGTCTCAGAATCCCCGATATGTTGGATGGGTGCTGGTTTGGTCAGGGTGGGACTGGCCTCCCAGAGAAAGGCCCGATGTGAAGAGACAGGGCAGAGGGTCCTTTAATATTCGTGTATCTGCTGCTTTCATTTGGTTTTTATTTTGCCCACCTCCCCGTTCAGCTTGCCCTCTTTAGACAGCTTCTCGTTCAGTTGGCACAGTTGGCGAAGGAAGCCATCGTTGGGACCGATTTCTCTCTTATGCCTCACGGTGGCCAGCGCCACTCGCACGTCCATTCTGTGGCGCAGCATGAGGTAAGCAGCGACCATGGTGGGGGAGCGGCTGTAGCCCTCTCTGCAGTGCACGTACACCTTCCCTAGAGGATACAGAACAACAAGATGAGACCCTTAACCTTTAACTTACCAACTGACTGCGAACAATAAGCAACCAACACACGGGGCTTTCCTTTTCTGAGAGGCAGGTTCAAACAGAATCACTTTTGTCTGGATAAAACAGAAGTCCCTCGTTTATCGCAGGGGTTACGTTCCGGACCCCCAGCAATAAGTGAAAATCCGTGAAGTAGAAACTACATCAATTTCTGAGTTGAAACGACAAACCAAAACAGTTCAGTCAACTAATAAATTTAAATATAAAGTTTATTTAGCAAGAGTTTATTAATTAAGGTAACTTGATATTCAACAAAGTCCATGCTCAATAATCCAGATATATAATCCAACAATTTTCAGTCAGGTCATCTGGACAGTTTTTTTTTTTTTTATGCTGAAACGGTTCACCTTCCATCCAGAAGGCTTCATCAGTCAAGGAAACACACAACGCGTGGACTTTGTTGGTTTTGAACCAGTTTGACATGACTGTCGATGAGGAAGAGGGCCGGCACCGGAGGAGGGGGCGTGCCAAAGAGACCATCTTAGCACCAACATAACTGGTTTGTTCCACTTTAGAGTAAGCTGTTGGGGGAAGAACCAGTTTTGTGTTGTGAGTTTCCTTGATTGATGAAGCCTTCTGGATGGAAGGTGAAACGTTTCAGCACAAAAAAAAAAAAAAAATTGTCCAGATGACCTGACTGAAAATAGTTGGGTAACTTGATAATGATCATTCACTCAAGAGCTCGGTTCTGGTTCGGCAGACGTACCCAGTAGGCATGTCGCAATAAATAATAAATCAATTAATCGCATGATAAATGGAAATTATCAACCTCATTCTCATATATCGGCTTTATCGTTTCTTCGTCTCTCTCTTTCTACTGAAGACACTCGATGACAAAAAGCTCAACTCGGGTGCTCTTCACTGACCCCTCCCTTTCTCATTTCTCTGTAAAATCTGTTTTAACGATCCAAAATCAGTTTTTGGATCGTTAAAAGCAGCTAAGCTGAGAAGCTAAGCTAAGAGGCCGACCTCAGGAAAAAACTCTGTCGTCGAAGCTCCAAAATTCACGGTTGAGAACTTGCTCGCTGATTTTTTTAATTAAAAGCTTTGTGCGAAAAATGCTATGCTAAAGAGTTCAAACCACACCGAGCATCCACCATTTTGAGAACCAAAGAGAAACGGCCCATGTCACGTCAAGGGGCCTCACTCCCATTTTTCTTAAATAAACACGCTGCTCGCTCCCTCACTATCCATCCTTCGGTTCAGTCTTGTACTGCCATCCAGTGGTCAAAAAAGTACTACACACAAAAATTAACCAACATTTCTCCTTAAATTTGACTATAATTACTAATTCTCAAATTTCAAACAATATTATCGTTTATCACAATAATTTCAGAGACAATTAATCGCCCAGCAAAATTTGTTATCGTGACAGGCCTACTACCCAGCCTTGGTCCGGTTCTGATTTGCTCTCTGCATCCACTGAGCGCCGAAGTCACTATGAATACTGTAAGGACTGAACTTCTTCTGATCAGAATTTTCCCTTCAGCAGAAAGAAACTTTGCCTTCTGGGTAATGTAGTCCTTTAGACTGGCAATACAATGTAGGCTTATTGAGAGAAAACTACAAAATGGCAGTTTTTAATTTTTTTGTGCACAATCTTTCAGTACTTTACTTTGAAAAACCGTGAAAGAGCGAGTGCGCGAAAGTCGAACCGCGAAGTAGCGAGGGATTACCGTACACTGATGAGGAAAACAATTTAAATGTTTTGCAGGAAAATAAAACTGTTATTAGGACACTTTAAAAGCTTGACAAACACAAAGAAATAAAAGATATGAGGAACAGGGACAACGTACTATTTTAGTCTGGAAACGTTACGTTCTAGTGAACTGTTTCAAAGGAACTATATAGAAATTTTTTTTATGTAAATCCAGATATTTAGAGCCTCCCTTACTTTTATATTTTTAACTCGTGCCGAAGAACAAAAGTAGCGAGGCTGAAGGGGGTGAAAACGGTGCAGAATGGGGAAAAGAATTGAAAAAGAAAACAAAAATGGGGAACGTGTGCTGTAGCTAAAGCTGCTGAGTGCAGCAGCTTCTCTGCCAGGAGATGCAAATATAAGACCTGACCTCTACTGCTGACTCAGCAAAGTCAATCATCTTCCCTGCTACAGAGACGCCACACTCAGATAGGAGTCTAGATGTGTGCAGGATATACGATCTATCCACCGAGCTGTGTTTTTAAAGCCTAATGAATTTATTTTACACTGTCGTTACAGAGCAGCTGAAAAGCCCATGAGGAATTTCTCAGGTCAGTTCTGCAGATTCTGCTCTTTCTTTGAAACCCAACCCGTCTCTGTGCCCTTCTTCTATTTATACCATCTTCTCTCCTGTATTGACGGGAACCTCAACGTCTAATCCTCCCGCCTGCCACGGATCAATGCTGAATCCAGTGTATCATCTTGTTGGACACGCCGGGTCTCTGGCACAGAACTTCACTCATCTTCTCATTACTCTTCTTTATTTCGGTCTTTACAAACCAAACATTGCTGCTTACTTCTGTTGTGAGTTCAGTCTGATTTTAAACAACGTCGACTCTCAAAGCAAAGCATCATTATTAAAAAAAAAGCAAAATGTGGCTAAAAATTACCTTTGCAACTTCCTGTATATAAAAACGTACTCAACTCATTAGCCTCTAAACAAGCTAAACAAACTCCAGTGGAGATTTGATGTTTGCTTCAGCAGCGTTTTCCTCTTTTCAAGCCTCCCATAAAGCTCAGACAGCAACAGTTCTTCACCACATGTATGCACAGTCTCTCTCCCTTCTTGCCTGCTGAAGCTTGTATCTCCTTCAGAGTGCTCACAGGCGGTCTCTCTCTAGTTTCCTTCAGTCGCTCAGTTTGTGAGAACGGCCTGCTCTTAGTAGATTTACACATGTCCCATATTCTTTCCATTTCCTGGTGGATTTTAGGGCTCGTCCTTTTGGACAAAATCCCTTTTGGACAGTACTTTGCACGGCTGCTGGACTGAATGCAAACCAAAATATTATGGACTGTTTTTGTAAAAAATATCATTTGAAAAATGCTACAAACACTTTAGCAAAAAAAGCTACGACAGTATAATTGTGTTATCTCTACAACTAGGGATGCACGATATTGAATTTTTGGCTGATATCTGATATATCAATATGTTAAAACTTATTTGATCGATAGCTGATACAGATATATAGTTTTCCTAGACCTACTTACAGAGAGTACATAGCCCTGCTGTGGAATTAAAATACAGTATTCTGCATGGGATTTGTCAGTTTGGCCTGCTACCACATGCAGATGCCAAAAAGGGGCTGAACATGATTTTTCATTCAACCTTTATTTATACAGTTAGTGTCATTGAGCCTCAAGGACTCATTTACAAGAGAGACCTGTGATGTACATCTTTATATGATGTAACACTTCAACTTGGATTATCTTTAATGTCAAATTTATTCGTGATTAACACAATAATTTTATCGCTAATATCGGCCGATACCGATACCATGCCGATAATATCGTGCATCATCTTTACCCACAACCCAATTCCAGTTCGAGCCTTTTGTTTTTGTCCTTTTAGATCAAATAATATCTTAGGGCAGACACAAATTAGATTTTGTAAATTTGTAAACATTCATATTGTTTGTTGACACGATTCTTGATGATTAATTCTTAAAATACACAAGACACACAGAAAAAAAAAAAAAAAAAAAAACGACTCGGTAGCTTTCTTAAAGCCATTTAATGTTTTTCACTACGGACTTGTCCGTCTGCTACATTTTACAATAAATGAACGTTTAAGGAAACTTAACGTTATAAATGGACATGGGTCCAAACTCTGGTCTGTGCAGGTGTTGTGTCTTATTTCCTGCCAGCTTTGTTCTTTAAATCTTATTCTGACGTTTTAAGCAGTAATAATTAAAATAAAACTTTTTTGTTGTTTAAAAGAAGCCGATTTCCTTTTGGCCTCGTTTTGTCTAATGTATCACTCCGATAGCTGGAAACCTATCCTTGGGTGGAGGAACGGACCTCGACACAACATCTGTGTGTTCATGTGCAGCTTTACTGGATCCACTTCCCCCTGTTTTAAGCACATTTATTGTGTTGACAGATAAATTAACAACTAATGGGTACATTTGAATTACAATTAAAGAGGAGGCTGAGTTAAAACAATGTTACAGTCTCCATGCTAACGTTTGAAATATTTGTGTTGTTTCTTTCAGGGTCATGTGACTAATTTCCTTTCATTTCAATGTATTTATTTTTTTCATTTTATTTATCTTATGCTGGAGTTGGCTCATTAAAACCTACCGATATACATGATACTTTTAATTTGAAAGTCTTTGTTTACACTTTTTTTTTTTTTTTTTTTTTGCATATTGTTAAAAACACAGTTGAATAAGAATTGCTGATTATGATTTTTGGAGAAAAAGTTTAACCTTTATATTAAATGATTAATCAAAATAAGTTGGTAGATTAATCCAAATAAAGTCTGAGAAACTTAAGTGAAAATCCCACTACCTTGTTTAAGGACTGGCACCAAATAATTTCTAAGCCCAGATTTAATTGGTTGATCTAGTTTAAGTATTTCTGCTTACCTGAAGGAACATTTGAGTTTGCGTGTAAGCAAAACCACCTCCACGTTTCAGCGTTCGTGTTAAAGAAAACGCATCAGTGCAGCTCCTCATTAAAAATCCTGCCCATGACCTTTTCAGAGCTCACAGCTGAGTCACAAAATGCCACCGCTACCTCATCGTTTTCCTGCAGCAACATCACACACAAAGCCGGGACTCAACCATCTTTCCTCCTCCACTCTCCACAGCTGGACTCCACCGGAGCTTTTTACTGGTAATTTACCACCCCTGCTGGTGCAGGTCTGGTAATTAAAATGCCTTCCTGTGTCAAAACTGGCAATAAATCTGTGAAATAGCAGCGGCAGACGGGGAACATCCTTCACGCAGCACGGCTACATATTCTTGCAGAGTTGGAAAAACTGCAAAAATAAAGCAAAGCTAAATGTTTCTTTAGTTCTGCTTTCGTTTGAATTAATTAATGAGATGCAGATGTGTAAAGCCTTAAACATTTTGACAGCGCTGACGTGATGCGATGATAGAATAAGCAGCTGGGTTCAAGAGTGTGACAGCTTTAGCGTCAATACGTTTATTAAAAGACTGCTTAAAACAGTTTAGCTTTTGTTAGCAGTAAGAAAAGCATGTTGCTTTGTTTGTGGGAACAAAAAATAAATTGTAGAAGCTACTAAAGCCAGAACCACTTCTCAAAAAATACTTTTGTTTAGGAATATCGTAACTTTCAGGCTATTGAGGACACCCAAATATAAGCCCCGCCCACTAACTTAAAATAATAATAATAATTTGTACATATTTATGTCACAGGTGTCCATGTTGTAACGAGACATTTACACAGATTTTTTTTTTTTAAACCTTTTATTAAATACGTACCGGTAACATATACAAATACGTACAGTAAATGTTTTTTTTTTTTCAGAACGGTGCTGGTAACATGGCTGTTAAAAAAAATACCGTAGCTACCAGGAAGTCATTGATCACTATCTTCACCTTCCTCCTGCGCAGTACGCTTGTGCTTCGTTCCCCCATGCCCCACTGTGACCTGTCCGGTAATTTCATTGGCCAGATTATTATATATTTTTTACCTTTATTTATACAGGTAGTCTCACTGAGTCACGAGGACCCCGCCCCACCCCCAAGAAAGACATGTACTGTGCAACTATGAGAGCACCTGGGTGACGAGGCTAAACGTTTTTCCGGCATGAAGCTCATTAGCCCGTCCCAAAAAAAAAAGAAAAATTAGCCACATCATTGTTCACAGCGTGTGGAAAAAAAAAAGTGGCTCATATTCTGGAAATTACGGTAATCTCTTCATTCCTTTTTGGTTTTCGCTGCACTTGGAAACCGTTAGTTGAACAGAATCAGTTACTATGAAACAACAGCTAGCTAAACAAGCTCACCTTTGCCGTTATTGTGCGCTAGTCCTTTGTCAATAAAATCGGCTCCCTCCTCGAAGAAGGCACCAAGGTTGAACTGCTCCGTGTCGTTGGCCGAGATGCCGTGGTACGTGATGCCCGTGCCGGCGTAGAACTCCGGAGGAGTGTTGACGTGCATGAAGGAGGTGCCCTCCGCCACGTTGAGGACGTGCGTCACGCCAAGTTTCTGCAGGCGCATTGGGTTATGGGCTACAAACCTGAGAGGGCGAGACCAACAACGAGTTCAATCATGGAGCAGGTTGTTGATGGAGCATTTAAAAAAAAGTTTACTCTTGTTAAAACAACTCAGAGAAAAAAAAATTATATATATATATATATATATATATATAACAGCAATAAAATGCATAAGCAGTAAAAAGGCATGTTGGTTTATCACATTGACAGTGACACTGTAGGCTTCAAGTTCTCCAAGACGCTTGCAGCTTTTTTTTATAGCTTATTGTAGCTGAAAGGGATGAAAACCTGCAGAGCATCAGATTTAAACTCTCCTTTGAGAACATACACTTCCTCATAAAACAAATAAAACTACCATCTGTACTGCGCAACAATGGGCAGGAATTGTGATCCCTCAATGAAAAAGGAGAAAGAGCAGATTACAAAAGAACTGTCAAATGAAAAAGATCCGCCAGCAGCTGCGGCTCCATCTACGTCCTCGACTTCCACAACAGAAAATAAACCCATTCCTGTTGTGCTCCAACATCAATAAACTTGGTCTTTAAGAACAGCAATACAGTGAACGAACTACAACAAAGCAACCCAGGATCCCGACTGCTCCAGTCTGTTTGGCCCAGAGCCTGAATCCTCTTCACCAACCGACCTGGCTGAAGGCCATGCCCATTGATTGAAATGAAATGTCTCTTCGTGTGTTAAGGCTGCAACTTGGATCAAGAATTTATGGGGCATTTAGCGTCGCTAATTGGAAACAATGTAGTTTAAACAACAGAAGCACCATATTCGAGTTAAAAAGGAAGAAAATAATAAAACATAGTTGAGAAAAAATTATTCACATGATGGTAAAGTTGTGGTGGAAATCCTAGGCTTGTTGCGATAAATAAATCAATTAATCGCATGATAAATAAAAATGATCAACCTCATTTTCATTTATCGTCTTTATCGTTTCTTTGTTTCTATCTCTTTCTACTGAAGACAGATTCAGAGATTCTTTATTGTCATTCACACCTCATGTTCATTCAACCTTTATTTAGACAGGTAGATCCCAATGAGCCTCGAGGACTCATTTACAACTCATGTGGTGGAGCAAAATTATGTACACAGGGTCCCAGTTACATCCAACAATAAAATGTATAAGAAAAACAGTAACATCCAAGATATGAACGAAGAAAAACATCAACTAAAACTACACTAAGCACTCATAACATAAAAACATTACGTCGAACAGCAGCACGAACATGAACATGAGTCTGTGAGCAGATGAGCACGCATGAACACATCAACATGAAACAGATCAGCAGCAACATGAAACAGATCAGCAGCAACATGATGTGATTTTTCACAGTGATTATTCTGGTTAGAGATTCATGAGTCTAACAGCCTCAGGGTAGAAGCTGTTCCTCAGTCTAGTGGTTCTACACTTAATGCTCCTCAACCTCCTATCTGAGGGGAGTGGGGCAAAAAGTGTGTGTGCTGGGTGGGTGGGGTCCTTCATGATGCAGGTGGCCCTCTTCCTGCATCTGGAGGTGTAGATGTCTGTGATGGTGGGGAGACTGATTCCAACATCTTCTGTGCAGCCTTCACCACTCTCTGCAGAGCTTTTCTTTCTGCAGCTGTGCAGCCTCCATGCCACACGTTGATGCTGGAGCACAGGATGCTCTCCACTTTTTTTTGTATTGAACGCTTTTTGAATGCTCTCCACTGCACACCTGTAGAAGGAGGTGAGGACTGAGCTTCCCAGACCAGCTCGTCTCAGCTGTCTGAGGAAGTAGAGTCTCTGATGAGCTTTCTTCATCAGGCTGGTGGTGTTGTTGCTCCAGCTGAGGTTGTCAGATGACAAAAAGCTCAACTCTGGTGCTCTTCACTGACCCCTCCCTTTCTCTTTCTCTTTAAAATATGTTTTAAATATCTAAATCACATTTTTGGATTGTTAAAAGCAGCTAAGCTGAGAAGCTAAGCTACGAGCTAAGCTAACAGGCTGACCTCGGGGAAATAACCTCCGTCTTGTTGAAGCTCCAAAATTCACAGTTGAAACTTGTGCCTTTGTGTAAAAAGTTGTTTTTCTCTGCAAAAAGAAGCTGAGAACTTGTTTACAGATTTTTTATTAAAAGCTTTGTGTGAAAAATGCTATGCTAAATAGCTCAAACTACACCGAGCGGCCGCCATTTTGAGAACCGAAGAGAAACAGCTCATGTCAGGTCAACGGGCCTCCCTCCCATTTTTCTTAAAGAGACACGCTGCTCGTTCCCTCACTATCCATCCTTTGATTCAAACAGTCCTATGCTGCCATCCAGTGGTCAAAAAAGGTACTACACACAAAATTAACCAACATTTCTTCTTAAATTTGACAATAATTACTAGTTATTGTCAAATTATAAACAATATTATAGTTTATCGCAATAATTTCTGAGACAATTAATTGCCCAGCAATATTTGTTATTGTGACAGGCCTAAGAAATCCTACAAAATGCATATTGTTCAGAATCACAAATCTTTATAAATCTGAAGTGCACCCTCTTGACAGCTTTGTGTGCCTTTATTGCTGTATCTGTCTAAAGTCGCTTTAAGGCTGGCGAGGCTGGGTGACCTGCGGCTCCCTAGAGATGATGACAACAAAGCCCCCCCACTTCAAGAACTAATAAAAGATTCTGGGATGAAGCAGCCCAGCTGCCTGCGTGTCAAATGAAGGGCAGAGACGAAGCAGAGCAGACGGACATCGTCCTCTGCTTCATTCACAAAACTCCTGTTCCCAAACGGTTCAATCAAAGCTGACAGTCGGAGCGTTTTGAAGCAACGTGGAACAGGATGATTGTGCATCTCAGTGGAGTAAAGTGTGCCCACTTACTCCACAACAAGCCGATGCAGAGGCACTCAGGGTTCAGCTTGGTTCACCGCCAACAGTTTCCTTCCTTCTCCAGTCCCAGCCTCCTCACCCTGGGATCTGCAGTCCCAACACATCTATTATTAAAGAACAGCTTCACGAGGAGCCCGAGCGTTTCTCACAGCAAACAACCGCACCTCAAACCTGTCCCCGAGCTGCGCACGCCGCCGTCAAGAGTGCTGACTACAACGGATCTGGAAACAGCGCAGCCACGATCCATTCATCAACAGAACCGTGTCACGGACGAGTTGAACAAACACAAGTGCTGCTCACGTCCTCGTGTTCCTCACTGGAGTGACTCACAAACTAACATCTACGAGTTGTGTTCTGCTTCCCCGAGTAAGAAAAAAGTGGAGAAAAACTTTTATCAAAGGCCCGAGTTGTTCCCGTTTCTACTGAAAAAACCGTTACGTGTGAGCTCATGTAATACTGCGAGACGTCAAGCTCAGAATATGTGTTGTGGATGACTCTCAGCTACTACCACACCAAACTTCAGCTCTATAGCTGTGAAACTGACTGACATATGTTGGCTACGGTCACTCGCCTGTGGCAGATATCTCAAATTGGGCTGACTCCAAAAGTTAATCAGTTGTAGTTCCATATCCATCAATTAATTCCTGATCATTTTATTAAAATCTGTCCAGTAGTTCCAGAGATATTTTGGTAACGGAACAAACTGTCAAACCCACACGCACACACAAGCATGAGCAAAACATTATTACTTTGCCGGCAGGCGATAAATGTGTTACAAAATTAATTTGAATGAGTCGTGACCTAAAAAAATGACTGATTTACCATCTGCTGCAATCAAACTATACATTACGCCTGAAAATAGTAAATGGGACAAATTCCCGGGAGACGCTGTTATAATGAATATTTTCCAGGACAGATATTTTTTTCTTTTGTTCTAAATTGAGTCAAAAACTTTGAAAAGACGCACCACAGTGTAGTCTGTACTTCCGTTTTGGTTCGGTTTTTGTCAGTCGGGGTGCAACTAATAAGATGCCTCAGCGCTGCGGAGAGGAGTACTGTGTCCCTGAGGTGGAAACAGTTGGAGAAAACTTCAATAAACAATCGATATCGTCTTTCCCTGCCTGAGAAATGTGCAAAAATCACAGATTACGCCGTGTTTTTCGCCCGTTTGAACTGACCACGTTCGCTGAATAACAACTCACTTTAAAATGAATGTTGGATTCACTCCTTCTGTTCCATTAGAGGCTCTAATGTGTTTACATTGACCCTGAGTGACGGCAGGAAACAGGAAGTGATTGATACCATTAAAAGAAGCCAGCAAGCCAAATAAAACGTACGAAAAACTTCTTGCAATCAAATGCGTCGCCCAGCGTAGCGAGTTGTGCTAACGCAACGTTAAGCATATTTTAAGTTGTGTAGATTAATTATGGACATTGTAAACTATCAGAAAATGTTGTTCTATGTGGATTTTCAGGCGGATTAGCGTTAAGCTAGCGGAAGATGAACATTAGCAGCCAATTAGCGCAATGCTAGCACTTGTTTATTGCACAGTTTGATTGAATATGGATGTTATCGCTCTGATGTGTTGAGAGGAAAGATTGTGGTTTACAATGTTTGTGATTTTAAATCCAGCACAACTTTGGCTGTGATCTGTTAATATTATTAACTAAGGTCTAAAATGTTTGTTTATGTTTATTTGAAACGTTACAAAATACTAAATATTGCCATTTTAATTTTGGTCGCCGTTCACCAGGCAATAAACAAAAGCAACAACGAACGACTAATCTGTTATTCATAATTAATTTTAAACTTTGTAGAGTTCATTTTGTAAGAAAAAAATCTTTCCATGTTTTAGTGCTGAGTGAACTTGTGAAAAAATAAAAATAAATAAACTTGTATTCTGTTTAGCATGGTTAATGCTTCTTCTGTTTGGTTTTTTTTTTTGGGACTCCAAATACTTCAGCAAACTTTCAGCTATTTCAGCCGTTTTGTTGTTCATTCAGCTCATTACAGCTTGTTTTTGTGCTTTTGAATTATTTAATTTTCTTTCATATTTCCCCCTTATAGAAAATCATTAGTGTTCTTTTAAATTAAATAAAGTTATCCTCTTTGAGATCTACTTCTGCAAATTGCTTTTTTTATACACATTTTAGCTACTATTCTGATAACTTAGGCTTTCAGCTACTGTCTTACTAATTTTAGCTTGTAACTACTGCTCTGTTAGTTTTAAACTTTTAGCTTCTGTTCTGATAAATTTGGCTTTTAGCTACTATTCTGCTTATTTTAACTTTTAGCTACTGTTCTAATGAATTTGGCTTTTAGCTATTGTTTTGTTGGCTTTTTAGCTACCGTCTTGCTAACTTTAGCTTTAAACTACCATTTTGTTCCTTTTAGATTTTAGTTAATATTCTGGTTATTTTAGCTTTTGTCTTGGTAATTTTACCAACTATTCTGTTGATTTTAGCTTTTAAACAGCTGCTGGTTTTGGCTTTTGTTTGATCAATTTTAATTTAGCTACTTTTAGTTTTTAGCTATTGTTTTGATAATTTTAGCTTTTGTTCCAATTGTTTTAATTGTAAATTTTACTGACAGAATCAGTAAGTTCTCATCATTCACACAGAAAATATCATTTTAAACATCATGGCCTGATGGAGATCATCCAGGTGACCCTTTTGGCCCTCAAGCCAGGTGTTGTATGAACGTCGTCTAAAAGATTGTGATGGACCAAACCATAAAATCAAGGCTCGTTGTGATAAATGCTCATCCTTTATAGACAAAAGAACATGGAACACACTAAAAACAAACTGTACTTTTCAGGACTGTGTAGTAGCTTTAAATACGATGGATCTGAAGAGAAGAGATTAATGAGAACTGAGTACAACCAGCGAACAGAACTTCTTCATCAGACTTCAAATCCTCATCCTCGGAGGAAAACGTGGAGCTGAGAGCAGAGTCTCTCATGCCTGCAGTCCTTTGTTTGGAGACACGACCCCTTCATATGGATTTTACCGGAGCTTTGAGATCCTCAACCACTCCGCCGGCAGCGCTGAGCCACATGAGGAGCGGCTCGGACAGCAGATCCTTCAGGGACATCCCTGAATCTGCTCTCTGCCACAAACACAACATTTATAGCTGCTTCCAAAGGTCTTATAATCAGTGTCCCATCAATGTTTTATTTAATTGTGTTAAAGTTTTATCTTTTGGAAAGGTTTCTAAATGAGTGTAAGGACTGGGGTGGTCTAAATGATCTGAAATGTTGAGCCTCCATTCCTTGAAGGAACCTGAGATTAAATTATAAGAAGTGACAGAGCTGAAGCCATTTTGGTCCAACTTTGTGTTTATTTCTTACGTGTTAGGTCTCTGAGTACGTACAGTAGTCCCTCGCTACTTCGCGGTTTTTCTACGCAAGATTGTCAACTTTAATATTACTCACGTGACTGAGACAGTACGGGATAAAAAGTTAACAATAAATGAATAAAAATACTTTGGACAGGCACCGCCATTGTTTTAGTTTTCTTTCAACAAGCCTACACTGTAACACAAGTCAAAAGAACAACACTACCCAGAAGCCAACAGTGCTTCCGCCCGCTGCTTTCTGCCGAAATGGAGGGAAAGTTTTGCAACACAAAGTCAGAAGTAACGATCTATCCATTAAACTCACAGAACTGGCAGGAAAGTCGCAAATAATCCTGAAATTCAATTATCCATGCGCACTTCAACCTGGACTGGGCTTCGTCGCTGCAGGGTAGGTCTGCCGAACCGGACCCGAGCTGCTGGTCTGCAGAGCTGGTGAGTAAAATTTTGCAGTACTGTACAGTACATATACATAAGTTGTTAAAATTACATAGGTTTAGGAGTTTGGAACATTGCAAGAGTGTAGGAAGGGTTTCTAAAGCCTTAAATAATATAAAATACTAAAATAAATATGGCGTTCCTACTTGGTGGTTTTTCACCTACGACAGTGGAACATAACCCCCACAACAACAGAGGGACTGTATGAGATTGACTCTCAGCTACTACCACAACTAATTTTAACTCTGTATGTAATATTGATTTATAGACTTTTGGTATCACCTAATATTGGTTAGTTGTGGTGGCCATCTTGTGTAAAAATGACCAAAATTTAACTAGTTACAGACGTCAATCCTTTGACTACACACACAAAATTACATGACTGCCCATTAAAAAAAAAAAACTAATATAAATATAAAGTCTAAACTAGTGTTAACATATTTGCTTCTTTTTTGTTTTGGTTTGTTTTCAGAGGGAACAGTGGCGATTTTAGCCTCTTTTTGAGCACCCCTAAATTTTAACTCAGCACCCCTGAAAAACAAAGTAAAAAAAAAAAATATATATATATATATATATACAGGTCCTTCTCAAAAAATTAGCATATTGTGATAAAGGTCATTATTTTCCATAATGTAATGATAAAAATGAAACTTTCATATATTTCAGATTCATTGCACACCAACTGAAATATTTCAGGTCTTTAATTGTTTTAATACTGATGATTATGGCACACAGCTCATGAAAACCCAAAATGCCTGTCCCAAAAAATGAGCATATCATGAAAAGTTTCTCTAAAGCAGCTATTAACCTAACCATCTGAATCAACGACGTAACTCTAAACACCTGCAAAAGATTCCTGAGGCTTTTAAAAACTCCCAGCCTTGTTCATTACTCAAAACCGCAATCATGGGTAAGACTGCCGACCTGACTGCTGTCCAGAAGGCCATCATTGACACCCTCAAGCAAGAGGGTAAGACACAGAAAGAAATTGCTGAACGAACAGGCTGTTCCCAGAGTGCTGTATCAAGGCACCTCAGTGGGAAGTCTGTGGGAAGGGAAAAGTGTGGCAGAAAACGCTGCACAACGAGAAGAGGTGACCGGACCCTGAGGAGGATTGTGGAGAAGGGCCGATTCCAGACCTTGGGGGACCTGCGGAAGCAGTGGACTGAGTCTGGAGTAGAAACATCCAGAGCCACCGTGCACAGGCATGTGCAGGAAATGGGCTACAGGTGCCGCATTCCCCAGGTCAAGCCACTCTTGAACCAGAGACTGCGTCAGAAGCATCTCGCCTGGGACTGCTGCTGAGTGGTCCAACGTTATGTTCTCTGATTACAGTAAATTTTGCATTTCCTTTGGAAATCAAGGTCCCAGAGTCTGGAGGAAGAGAGGAGACACAGAATTCGCATTGCTTGAGGTCCAGTCTCAAGTTTCCACAGTCACTGGGGTGTCATGTCATCTGCTGGTGTTGGTCCACTGTGTTTTATCAAGCGCAGGGTCAATGCAGCTAGCTATCAGGAGATTTTGGAGCCCTTCATGCTTCCATCTGCTGAAAAGCTTTATGGAGATGAAGATTTCATTTTTCAGCACGACCTGGCACCTGCTCACAGTGCCAAAACCACTGGTAAATGGTTTACTGACCATGGTATTACTGTGCTCAATTGGCCTGCCAACTCTCCTGACCTGAACCCCATAGAGAACCTGTGGGATATTGTGAAGAGAAAGTTGAGAGACGCAAGACCCAACACTCTGGATGAGCTTAAGGCCGCTATCGAAGCATCCTGGGCCTCCATAACACCTCAGCAGTGCCACAGGCTGATTGCCTCCATGCCACGCCGCATTGAAGCAGTCATTCATGCAAAAGGATTCCCGACCAAGTATTGAGTGCATAACTGAACATGATTATTTGAAGGTTGGTGTTTTTTGTATTAAAAACACTTGTCTTTTATTGGTGGGATGAAATATGCTAATTTTTTGGGACAGGCATTTTGGGTTTTCATGAGCTGTATGCCATAATCATCAGTATTAAAACAATCTGAAATATATGAAAGTTTCATTTTTATCATTACATTATGGAAAATAATGACCTTTATCACAATATGCTAATTTTTTGAGAAGGACCTGTATATATATATATATTTTTTTTTTTGGGATGATTCTGAGTTTGGATTCTGTTTATTGCATTTATGATTCAATGCAACAAAATAAACGAATTTAAAACAGATCATAATTTGTAAAACTTGATTTATTTACATAATGACTTTAATCTTGCTTGTTTCTATCGGGAGATCTGGCAACACTGCCACCAAGTTGTTCAAGCCAAGAGCCATTGTCAGCACTGGGGGGGGGGGGGGGGGGCTGAGCACCCCTAAAGGTCAGATTCTAGAATCGCTTCTGGGTAACACCCTACACGCCCTGGCATTTATTAATTTATGTTGAAAAGGTCAAAAGGGGCCGTTTAGCTGCCATGACTGCTCCATCTCAGCTGGAGGGAGCGGCTCGTGAGAACACGTCACCGCTTCGCTCAGGACAAACCGCCTCTTTCAGTAAATTAACCTAAAAACAATAATAACTCAATAATAACTCGGCTCTCAGTAGATTTCTTCAACAACAGGCTGCCGTTTCTCCACAGCAGACACCAAAACAAGCCCGCCCTGCGCGCGCGCTGCCCAGCACGCGACGCTGTTGTCACGTACAACCAACGGTCAGCGCACGAGACGGTCACCATTTTTTTCATCGTGCCGGACAAAAGAACGACTCACGCGTTTCCGATGTAAATTCTGGGGAACACCTCGTTGAAGTGCTGGGTCGGCAGGTTGTAGAAGCCGCTGCCGTCCGACAGGAGCTCGTTGAGTTGCTGCACGGTAACGTCGCCGCTCGGAACCGGCGGCGGCGGCGGCTGGTGCTGCTGCTGTTTCGTGGGGCTCAGGTGTTTCTTCATGGCTCCGTTGCGTTTCCTCCCCGCGCTCAAACGAACGTTAGACGACAGGCGGCGCCTGGCTCGTGATGCTCCGCCGATTGTTCAACAGCATTTTACCTGCGCACGTGAGTCGTGCGCGATGCTCCGCAAGGTGTCTCTGAAGAGGCGGGAGACCTCCGGTTCAGTCGCTGCCAACGGCGTCAAGTTAGCGGATGTTTACAACAAGCATTTCCGGTTAGACTTTCAAAATAAAAGACAGCTTTTTCCCCCCATACCCGCCCATAAATCTTTGCAGCAATTAACGTTTTTAGTGTTTCCATTTTGTTTGATGGAAGCCCATCCCTGCCTCTCTGGAAGAAAATATTCTTAGTCCTAATTATGAAATGACATCTCACAATTCTGAATTAGCATCCCATAAGTATATACATGCATAATATAATATCCTATAAATAGGATTTAGCATGTAATATTTTGACTTCTTATAATTGTGATTCAGAATATTATAATTTTTAATTGTTAAGTCATTTTAAATGGTCATCTCATAAGTGAGAAATGAGCTTTAGTATTTCATATTTGAAATTCTGTCTTCATAATTATGAGTTAAATCATAATTTTGAGACTATTTTTCATTATTTATTACTTAGAAAATCAAAACCGAAGAAATGTCCTATCGACAGTGCATCCAGAAAATATTCACAGCGCTTCACTTTTTCCGCATTTTGTCATGTTCCAAATTGTATTAAATGAATGTCTTTCCTCAGAATTCTTCGCACTATTCCCCGTTATGACAATGTGAAAACACATTAGAGGTTTTTACAAATTTATTAAAATTAGAAAAATAAGAAATCACATTTGCTATTATTAGTAGTAGTATTCACAGCCTTTGCTTAACACTTTGTTGATCCACCTTTGGCAGCAATCACAGCCTCGAGTCTTTTGAATATGATGCTTCAAGCTGAGCACACCTTTGCAACATTCTTCTTTGCAGAACTTCTCAAGCTTCATCTGGATGGATGGGAGGCGTCTGTGCAGCCATTTTCAGACACCTCCAGAGATGCTCAGTTGTGCTCTGGCTTGGCCCCTCCAGGACCTTCACAGAGCGGTCCTGAAGCCGCTCCTTTGAGCTCTTGATCATGCGCTTTGGGTCGTTGTCCTGCTGAAAGAAGAACCGTCGCCCCAGTCTGAGGAGCTCTCTGGAGCAGGTTTTCATCCAGGATGTCTCTGTACGTCGCTGCATTCGTCTGTCCCTCTATCCCGACTAGTCTGCCAGCTCCTGCTAATGAAAAACACCACACAGCATGATGCTGCCACCGCCGTGCTTCACTGCAGGGATGGTGTTGTCCTGGTGATGAGCTGGTTTCCTCCAAACATGACGCCTGGCATTTACATCAAAGACCAGAACATTTTGTTCCTCGTGGTCTGAGTCCTTCAGGTGCCTTTTAACCTCCAGACGAGCTGCCATGCGCCTTTTATTAACGAGTGGCTTTCATCTGGCCACTCTACCACACAGGCCTGATTGGCTGCAGAGATGGTTGTCCTTCTAGAAGGTTCTCCTGAGTGCTGGAGCTCTGACAGAGTGACCATGTGGTTCTTGGTCACCTCCCTAAGGCCCTTCTCTCCTGATCGCTCAGTTTAGACGGCCGGCCAGCTCTAAGAAGAGTCCTGAAACTTCTTCCATGAAGGATGGAGGCCACTGCGCTCACTGGGACCTTCAGAGCAGCAGGAATGTTTCTGTATCCTTCCCCAGATTTGAGCCTCAACACAATCCTGTCTCTGCTACTGACCTTTGACCTCATGCTTGGTGTTTGCGCTCTGACGTGCACCATCAGCTGTGGGACCTTCTATAGACAGGTGTGGGCCTGTGCAAATCACGTCCTGTCAACTGAATTTACCACAGGTGGACTTCATTTAAGTTGCACAAACATCTCCAGGATGATCAGTGGAAACAGTATCTGAGCTCAGTTTGAGCTCCGTGGCCACGGCTGCGAACACTTACGTGATTTCTTAGTTTTCTATTTTTAATGAATTTTCAAAAATCTCATCTTTTTTTTTCGTATTGTCATAATAAGAGTGCTGTGTGTAGGATTTTGAGGAAAGAGATGAGTTTAAAACTATCCTATTTTCATAATTATTTACTGAAGAGCGCACAATGTTTTATGAAGATTCTGAACCCTAAAATGTGTCACTTTAACATCTGTTTACTGAGCTGATATAAAAAAAATATATGTCATGGCTTTTACTTTGAAGCGTTAGCCCACGCACTTCCTGTGTAGTCTTATCAATTTAAGTGTAACTTGACTTTTCTCACTATCTCCATCAGACACCGGCTGTCTGAAGCTCCGGAGACAAGAACCGAGCCGGAGAACAGAGGTGGGCAGCGTGCTGCGTTCACGTGCTGCTCGTAAAATACACACTTTCGGCCTGTTGCCTTTCCGCTACGTTTTCATTTTCCAAAACAGCTAACATTTGGCTAAACTCGTTATATTTAGCTAAAAACATTTGAAATCGGTGTTAACTTAAAAATAACATCCTAATCAAATGATGAGTTTAAACCGATGCAGGTGTTTCTGTGCACGTTTTATCACTTCAGTTATGAATATTTTTATATTGTATTATGTTGTAGCCCAGAGCTATTCAACTAAATTGATCAGGGGGCAACATTTAAGAACGCCGAGAGCTCAGGGGCTGGAAATCCAGCAGCTATTCTCATTAGGTAAGCTTGTTTTATGGTTTAAAGTCTAGTTGTTTTTAAATTAACCCATTGGTGGGCCGAACTGAACTCACCAGTGGGCCTGATTTGGCCCCCGGGCCACCAGTTGAATAGCCCGGTTGTAGCCCTTTGAGTTTGAACGGCAACAATTTGGTGAAACAGAGTTTACACCTGACCGAGCAAACTGCTAAACTGAACGTGATCACATTCAAACTGTATCGCCGCCATCCTAAAACAATTCCAGAAATCAACGTTGTGTACCGGAAGTGCTACTGCCGGCTGCTACGCGATGACGTAATTAAGCATGAACTTGTTTTAAAAATAGCTTCATCTTCTTTGCTCTCGGCTTCGCTCAGACCAGCCGTTAGCTCGTTAACCTGATTGAAGTTAAACTCTTCTCCAAACTGAGACGTTCCAAAAGCTATCTGCAACAGGTAAGATGTTGTTTATCCACAGTTAAACGTTCCATGTTTTGTTTTAAGAAGAGAAAGAAAAGAGGAAAGCCTCTGAAAACTCACCAGGGTCTGTTGTTTTACATGTCACCACTAGATGGAGCCACTTCTCCATGAAAAGCACATTTCAGCTTGTAGTTTTCAGAAGTTAAAGCTCTTTATGTAGATAGATTGAAGTAGATTTTGAATTAGAAGACTTTTTTTTCCAACAACTGGATATAACTAAGAGCTCCCAGTTAAAACATATTTTAGTTTTATCATCTCAAGCAGGTTTAGAGGTTTGTTTCTTCTAACCCAGATGTTAGTTTTTGCTTGTTTGGGGTTGGTTTGCTGCTGCAGGCCTGCAAACCTGCGAGGTGTTTGTGTTGTTGTAGTCGACTTTACCTGTACGCTCTTGACCCACTTCACGCACAACCCCATGCCAGTCGTCGCTGTTGCGTTTCCATGGCGATGTTATGGAGTTCAATCAGTGCAGCGCCATGGCAACAACAGATCTTGTGGATGCAGATATAAGCTCCCTGATGGGCATACCTGTGTGTACAGGCGCACATGCACAAAACAAATACATTAACGTGAATACACACCTGCTGCTGGCAGAAACTTCACATCGGTCCAACGGTGTCTGAAGTTTATTGTCATTTTAAAATACTTTATAAAAGATTAGCTGCACTTTTATCGAAGTCGTCACATTTTTTCACTTCAAAATTTGCATCTTATTCCCCCATAAAACATGTTTAAAGATGCAATCTGATTAATTTAGTGTTTATTTTGCCTTTTTGGTTCATAAACATTAAACTTATTGTTTGGCAGGAAACCAGAATGCTTGTAAAATGTTTATCTTTGCTTAAAAATGTCAAGAATCTCTGCGTCTGTTTGGGTAAATGGTGTGGAAAACCTGCTTGTATTCCTCGAAGGAATGCACGTGTGTGTGGGGAAAGTGGCCAACATCTTGGAAAAACAAATCTCGGTTTGAGAACAGTTGGACTCGACGTAAAAGACAAAAAAGAAGCTTGAAATAAAAACTAAAATCTATTAGGAAACTCTGACGTGGCAGCAGCCACCATGAAAACAAACTCCAGGAGAACCGTGACGTGAAACACACACGAGGCCTGAGTGAAGGTGGACTGAAACCTGAGTGACCCCTGGGCAGTCTGTACCTGGGAGCAGGTGAGAGTGGGCGGGGCAGGAGCTGAGGAGCAGAAACTGATGGAGGGAGAAGTAGCAGACGGCCCAGAGGAAAAAGCTGAAACATGTGAAATGAAGAAACCCGGAGAAAATCCCAGACAAAACCTAAAAGCAGAGCTTTAGCTCGTGTCAGCTAAAATTAGTAAAGCGAACAAAAACAGCAAATATACTGAAACAGATTTCCAAAGGAGTTATGTTTTTAAAGGGTTTGATGAGTTCTCTGTGTATTTCTACAAAACAAATGTCTGTAAATAACGTTATAAAAAGTATAAAAGTGAATAAAACCAAAAGCCAAGAATTGGTTTACTAAAACTGCACAAAGCAGCTGGACTGGTTTAACACAAAGCTCCTGGATTTATCAAATCTGAGGGTGGGGGAGGGGCAGTGATAGACGCATCTGTGCCAGATATTGAACATTGATCGATTCGCCTTTTTATCGACAGCGTCCGCTCTTCGTTGCCCTTCCTGACCTTCCTGACCTTCCTGACCCGGTAGTGGGACGAGCGCCACCTGAGTCCTGCAAATCAGATGGAAGTGACAGGAAGTGGAGCTCAGGACGAGGCTTCGATCTAATTAACACGTTTGCGTTCAAGAGCTGTTTTACACGTTTACATGTCGAGCACTTTGCTCTATCGTGCCTGGTTTGTTTATTTATACTGGATGTTAAACTGAGA